TGCTGAAGCGTGTGAGCCAATGGGTAGAGCCTGTCCTGGTTGCAAAATTGTAGGTAAGCACGTTCGCCTTATATTTGTATGCATTTCCAATATGATATTTTGTTCTCGCCCAGCTAACTGTGCCAATGGATAGTTTTCTGCCCTCTTCTTGGCAGGCAATTCTGTTGGATAGTAATGGAAGCTTTCTGCAAAAAGAAAGGCAGGCCAGTGCAGCTCTGCCTTTTAACTGCTGTCTGCATTTACTCAAACCTCTCTGGCTCTAAGAATCCTGCTCTTTCAGGCCAAAATGAGGGGGGCATCTAACTTCTCTACCTTGCCCTTCCAGGTTAATTTTAAGCCCTACATGCCCAGATTTTCCAAAATCCTAAGTTAAAGACTTGCTCTCTTTAGAGCAGCGAAGGGTACAAAAGATGCAACAGCTAGGCTTGGGAAAGATGGACTGCAAGAGCAAATGCTTCTCATTACTCAAGAAGGCAGGGGACAGGGCAAAACAGTTTAGCAAATACTGTGTTAAAGCAGCAGAGTTGCTGGACTATCAGTAGGAATCAGCTGCCTGCTCTGTGCCTATCTGTGAGCTAAAGTTCATGCAGCAGACTTTTGACCAAACTGCAGTATATTAATTGCTTATGCAGGAACAAAGTCAGTAATAAAATGCTAAATAGGGTGCTGGCAAGGCAGGCTCTTGGATCTGATTTTGTTGGTTTCCATAAAAGGGGCTTCCTTGCTTTTTCCCAACCATTCTCTCCAGGAATCTGTGTACAAAAATATTTGTTCCATAACCACAGCGAACAGCCTCCCATCGCCTGGCAGCTGCCCGCATACTTGAGGCTTTCTGCCGTCTCTGAAGTTCAACTCTGCAGGAGCCTGTGCTGCTGCTGAGTCTAATCCTAATTTCAGGCTTTCATGTCCCCAGCCCGGCCCAGTGGGACTGGGGCTGCTGACAATGGTGGCAGCACATCCCCCGTGAGTACAGGGTGAAGATTAGCCTTCACATTGTGCCAGTAATGATAAGTAGCAATGTGGATAATAAGGAGCACTCTTGCAGCACTTTACGTCTTCAAAGTGCTCTGCTGATACTAATTAAGCTGCCACGCAGCCTTGCGACAAAGGTATGGATTTCTACTGCACATAATTTAACTGTACTGTATTGTGATGCAATAAACCAAAATTGGATGGTGTCTTCAGACAGCAGTCAGGAAATCAGTTAACCAACTACTGGCTGCTTACACCCCGACGACTGAGCCAGCTTCAAAGCTGCCCCGTGTCTTTTGGTTAGCCTTGGGGCATCTTTGGGAACCTCAACCATTCATGCAAAGCAGCACGACGCCAAGTGTTTAACAAAGTGGCTCCAGTGTTTTGCAGCAGCTCAGTTTCCATCTGTGCATATGGCCTCCACCATCTCCTAACCCTGCCCAGAGGATGCAGTCCCATTGCCACGGAGTTAAACCCGGGCACTGCTGTGCTTAACTGAAGAGCCCCAGTTTCTGTGCCACTGGCACTGTGTTGTATTTAGAGTATCGGACTGGTGTGTACTGGTCGCAAAGGAAAACAAGGTCACACTGCTGTGTCATGTGCTGTGCTGACATGTCACGGAATAGAGCGGATGCTCTATTTTAACGGCAAGGTTTCAAAGCCTTTCTGGGCAGCAAAGCCACCTGCCCGCAACACTGCAGCACCTGCCATCAGCTGCTAGCATCGAAGTGAGCAAGCAGTCAGTAGAACGGTAGGTATTGGTTAGTATTGGTGAATGCCCCTAGAAGAAAGATAACCCTGATGATATGGTCACAGTGCTGGGCCCCGAGTGACCTGTTTTTTCTCAGGAAAGAGTTTGAGGTCACTGTGGACAGATTTCTGACAACACAAGCTCAGTGCTCAGCAGCAGGTCAGAAGGTAACAAGAAAGTTATGACGGATGGGGAAAAAAACTGAGAAGAAGGCAGTAAATGTTATATCACTGAATGAATCCAGGTCGCTGCCACATGTTGAATAGTCTGTGCAGTCTCCTTGATCCACTCTGGTTAGTCCTTTTTGAGCCAAAAAGGGCATTATAGAGCTAGGAAGGATACAGAGAGGATAACATGGTATAGGAGGGCATCTGTGTAAAGAGAGGTGGGCTAGTTTAAAACTGTTCAACCTGGAAAAGACACTAATGGGGAGAGCTTTGGTCATGGCTGTGAACGGCAGAGAGATGAACAGGAGGCACAATACCGTGGCTTGGAAGGCAGGGTGCACCCGCTGAGCTGGCAGAGGTGAAGGGAAGTGCTTGTTCACACAGTCCGGCAGTGACTTGGGGAGCTAATTGGCACAGGACGCTCTAGGTGCCAAAACAAAAATGTGTTCAGAAAGCGATTAGGCAGGCTGATGGCAGCAAGGACTGTTAAACACACCGGTCCAGAGTCAACCGCTGCCTCAAGAAGTTTCTCACCGTGGGCTGACAGAGACTAAACCAGTGGAAGTATCGCTCTATACGTGCCTCTTACATGCCATCCCTCAGGATTTTGGGGTAGGTGAACTCTGGCTCTGATTTATTAAGACTGCTTTCATATGTTATCCCAAACATATGCAGCACACAATTTCTGCAGTGTTGTGCCAACATAT